GCAAGCACATTTTTGTACCATCATCTCTGCTTGTCATCTTTTTGACATTTTAGTGATACAGTGATTTTGTAAACATAAAGGAATTTGTTGTGAAATATGCTTTTCATTTTAATTCAGAACCAATGCTTTTTCTTGTCTGTCAGAAATTTGTGAGCACTGTGGGCTCTGATAAACTTTACAGAAGACTTCCATTAATGTTTAATAACTCCAAGGGTTTATGGATATAGCAGCATATTTACAGCAGTTGATACTGTAAGTTTACAAGGAAGGCAATGTATCTCTGTGTACATAAAGCTACTCATTAAAAACTCTTCCTTTCTTCTCCAGTGTCTTTAAACATTATTCACAGGTTTACACTACGTTTACTTTGCCAGATGTACAAGAGGTGCATGTAATGAAGTTCAGTTGGTAACTAGTGATGAGAATAAAACTGCTCATGAGATTTGAAAGCAGAAAGCAGCAGCTCCTCGGGAATTGAGAAAATATATTCCCAACTGGTTGAACAAACATTTCAGTTGCCAGCTAGGGCTGACTTTAAATGGACCAGCTGCCTGTGTCAGCAGCATAGAGTTACCAGGGTAACAGGGGCTGTCTAAAGAAGAATGTAGCTGAGAGGGCAAGTTTTTGATCTGTGAGTTGAGGGAAGGAATTTGATGTGATCATGCATCAGCCCTCCTAATCACACACACTCAAGCATTTAAAGCTATGTGGGCGGTGTGGAGCAACTTACAATTTTGTTGAAGCTTGTGCGGGGCTCCCTATTGCTTCATTTTCTTAGGAGCCAAAGCCCTTGGATTTTATCATGAGGAGCCTACATTTCTAATTTTAAGGCGCTGTGATGAGGGACTTGTTAAAACTGTGACAATAAGTTGCTGTTACGAAGCTTATGGGTTTTTATGATGTCTTCTCACTGGGAAAATGAACATTCAAATAACACTTCTTCCTCTAGATCATTAGATCTGACTCTGTGAATGATGTTGTTACTTTTTGAGCATTCCTTACATGGAATCGCAAAATCCAAAATACTGCAAAAATCCTTAATTGTCCACATGGGTGACGGAGGTAGTGACCTCTTTGCTTTCTGGACGTTCAGTGTGCACAGACAATGGTTAGTAAACGCTATGTGCATGAGATGTATATGAAACGTAAATGAATTATGTAGGTTCCATCTCCTAGATATCAGTACTCCAAAATCCAAAACACTTCTCGTCCAAAGCATAAGGGATACTCAACTTGTACTAGCTATTCCTGTTTCCTGAATTTTATTTTCTAACCTCCAAGATGGAGTTTTGCTTCAGTTTATTGTTATTTTTCTGTTTTTTCTTTAAATATAGGATTGAATCAGCCCCAGACAGCATATGACCCACCGAGTAGAATCCCTCCCGACGAGCCTGGTGCTTAGCTGCTTGATAGACTTTTCAAAACACAACTGTGGTTGGAAAGAAGGTGTATAAAGTTATACTTACACACTATACTTCCCATTTAAATATTGCATCTTCCTTTCCAGTTCGGCACTGGAGTCATTTGTGACATGACATGTAGCACATTGGGCTCAGAAAATGGTGAAAGGGGATATAAATGCATGTGCTTTAGGTCTGTCATTGTTTTCCTGTTGATATACTTCAATTAGGTTTGAAAGTGAGAACCTCAGCCAGATATAATGGAACAGTAGCTTGCCTTGTGTATGAGAATATGTGAAAAGAATAGATGGCGATGTAAATAAAATTAGCTGCTCTGGAGAAACCTCCTGTTGTTCAGAGGCAGCTTGTAAAAGACTAGCTAGTTTATTCAGCCTCTTTCAAGATACATACAAATAATCAAAAGGCAAGTTGTTCATGATGGATGACTTCAGAGGCGCTTTAGGCCTGAAGATAAATCAGTGTACATAGTTTATTACTTTGAATAATGATGTCTTCAAAATATAAGAGATATGTCCCAGGCATCACAGTAGGAAATATCTATTAAATTCCTGGCCACAGTATCACTGAATATTTATAAAAATTGTGAATGTGAAATAAACCATTCATTGGTGTGGGAAATGGTTTGTCATTCCAGTTTTGCTAGCCTGTGTCGCATTTAAACATTCATCTGCTAACATCACTGCTTTTTGTGTGGAAGTGATATGAACTAAATATTCATTTGAAGAATACTGAATAACAGAGATAAATACCATGAAAAGAGATTTCCAGAATATACCAACTTTATCACTAGTGCAAAATGGTATTTCATGATTTCCTCTTCAAAAAGACAAGCTGAGCTAAATTACTGTGTAGGTTTTTTTAAAATCAGCTGTTCCAAGGATTAAACTGTGATGTTAAGGTTCGGGAACAAGGTCTTGCCTCTTCTGAGACCTTTAATATTACTGGTATTTGAAGAATGTGTTTATAAACTTACAAACTAAATGTAGTCTCTTTCATGTTTCGAAAACAGACAGCTGCAGCATTTATATATGAAGCTTAGTAAAAAAAAATAATTTTGTAACTTCACTGTTTTTACCTTACACATGTAAGCATTTGTTTTGCTGGTTTGAGAACAGTATAGTATCTATGGTTTTGTGTTTTGCTGGCTCTTCTAATGCAATATATTTTTTTAAATCAGCAATTTAATCATATTCTAGTATGCTTGGTTTATGTATATTTAGACTTTTAAGTAACTAAATATCTGAGAAACAAAATATTTAAAATTAGAATTCAAGGCTTTTAAAAAAATAGTTCTGCTGATATGATTTTCATTGTCACCAGTCTTTAGAAACTGGAAGCATTATCATATTTTCCCTGTATTTCCATGTCCTATAAACTAGTAATGGACAAAATCCCCTTTTCTATAGTTGAACTCTAGTTGTCTTCAGCCCTTGTCAGCATAGTTAGTGATGAGGAATGCTAGGAGTGCGTGGCTGGACCACCTAGAAAGCCACATTTCACCAATCTCTTTTTATCCATGACATCAAAACTATACTGAATAAGAGCTTTTGGTTTTACAATGTTTTGTTTGATGTTGATCTTAAAGTATGATATTGTTGTTCACTGGGAAAAATAAGTATGTGTTGTCTGTCCATCATAATGCTATCCAACATGTAAATTTATTATTTTATAACAAAAGCCAGTATTTTATTATGATTAATATTGTCATTACTAATACAATGTCTAGGATTTAGTTAATTTTTTAAAACAGTGACTCAAAGAACACAAAGTTTGTTGTACTCTCACTTCATAATAAATTTTGTAGAAATTTAAAGCCTAGAAAGTTTGAGACATTTACAATTTATCCTTGGAAGAAAAGTATAAAATGTAAAATAAGTGTTTAGGAAGAAGGGAATACACATTTTAGAAGTCAGGTTGCTGTCTTAACAGGCTCTATAACAGTGGTTCTCAACCTGTGGGTCCCCAGATGTTTTGACCTTCAACTCCCAGAAATCCTAACAGCTGGTAAACTGGCAGGGGTTTCTGGGAGTTGTAGGCCAAAACACCTGGGGACCCACAGTTTGAGAACCACTGCTCTATACTATCTGTTTCTATCTGCTTATTTGTCTATATCACAAGTGTAGTATTCCTTCTAGCTAAAAAGAGCATTGATTAATTGGACACATGGGTGGGAATTGTGCAGCCCTTCAGTTGACGTTGGGTTTCATTATTTCCCCTACAACAGTGGTTCTCAACCTGGGGTCCCCAGATGTTTTCGGCCTTCAACTCCCAGAAATCCTAACAGCTGATAAACTGGCTGGGATTTCTGGGAGTTGTAAGCCAAAAACATCTGGGGACCCCAGGTTGAAAACCACTGCCTTACAATATAATTAGAAGTGAGGAATGATGAGGGTTTTAGCCCCAAAACATATGAGTGGGTTCACTTTGTCTGCTCCATTTAAAATGTTAATGGCCAAGAAAGTCCAACATAAAGGACAATTTCTGCCTGCACTATTCTTAAATTCAGTTGTGCTAATCTGGCAGTTCTCTGAACTATTACATGTCTCTGTATTGTGCCTTTCCTTGGGAGACTTGCCTGATGCCTTGTCTTGTTGCCTTTTAGTATAATATGGACTGCTTTTATTTGTACTTTTTGGTCATTTTTAAGACAATGTTGTGCAACCTCCTTAATCCTTCCATTAATGTCCTAGGTACAAGCCCCATTCTAAAAGCCCGAAGGATCATTCTAGGCCAGGCATGGGCAAACTTTGACCCTTCAGGTGTTTTGGACTTCCAACTAGAAATCCCAGCCAGCTTACTGACTCTTGGGAATGGTGGGAGTTAAAGTCCAAAACACCTGGCGGGTTAAAGTTTGCTAATGCCTGATCTAGGCACATGAAGCCTGACCTGAGAATAATAGTTCTCTTCAGGTGCACATTCCTCCAACTCAGGCCTGACTGCATGTATAATTTTACTGCTTCAGGTGGCCATTCACATTCTTGCCTAGTGGGAGTTGCACATGTGTCAGACAAATGATCAATCTTAAACCTGACACAAATTGTTGAAAAGTAGTTACTGATTCTTCTCTGAACACAAGAGGTTTTCATTATATCTTATGCTACCTTTGAAGTTAGCATCTCACTTGAATTAAGTAGCAATTTCCAGGTAAGCCATATTTCTGATAAGAGGAAATCCCCCAAACCCCACAGTTAAAATGCATTATCTTTATGAAATAAGTGTTCTATTGCGCAATGTTAGACAAACGGAGAAAATCTGTCAAATGGTAGAGATGCTCCATTAAGTAATATTTAACCTGGAAAGGCAAGGGAATGGATCCTGGGATTTCAGATATTTCTCTATCACATAGAATGCCAGTATTTGTTTCTTTATATTTGGGTGCTTGCTTTCAGAGAGAGCACGTGAAGACCATCTCCAAATGACTGCAGAAAAGCAACATTACATGACTAAGCTAAAGATGCACATTGATCTTCTACAGATATCAGTCATTAATTAAACATTTCACTTTTAGAACAATTTTTCTTTGCAAAGGACCTTTTTGGAAAATATATCATAGATTTGTTTTTATGCATTCTTTTCTAGGTCAAGTGACTATGTGAAAGGTCAACATGGTGTTTTGAAGTATGACAGAAATACTCATGCTGTACCAGAGGCTGGGAATATTGATGGCCAAATCTAGGTGAGTGTATTTACCTTTAGCCAAATGTTCCTTTTCAACAAGTTTAGAAATCTTTTCTGACTGGTTTCAAAGGATAATTTCCAAATAAATTTCCTATTTGGAAAGTAGCTTGGCAGAAAAAACCAACAGTTCCAAAGAATTCCTTTTCTCCCAATAATTCCTTGTTGAAACTCTACAGCAGAGGTCCTCAAACTGAGGCCCWMGGGCCAGATACAGCCTTCCAAGGTCATTTACCTGGCCCTCGCTCAGGGTCCTTCTTAGTCTGAAACAACTTGAAAGCACACAACAACAATCCTATCTCATTAGCCAAAAGCAGACCCACACTTCCCATTGAAATACTAATAAGTTTGTATTTGTTGAAATTGTTCTTTATTTTAATTATTGTATTGTTTAAAAGTGGTTTTTTTTTTTTTGCACTACAAATAAGATATGTGCAGTCTACATAGGAATTCATTCAATTTTTTRCCCAAATTATAATCTGGCCTTCCAACAGTTTGAGAGTCTGTGACCTGGCCCTCTGTTTAAAATGTTTGAGGACTCCTGCTCTACAGCCTTTCTTTCTTTCTTTCTTTTGAATAATCTTTATTAGGGGGGTTGTGAGGGTGAGGGGGATACATTGTTCAAGAAATTTACTTTACATATAATAAAATCAGACAGAAAAAAGAGGAAAGAGGAAAAAAAGAAGGAAAGAAAAAAGGAAGAAGAAGAAAACAAACAAACGTCGAGATTTAGGTTTTCAATGTGTCATCTTCCCGTAAACCACTAAAGTCTATTTATCTTTCTTCTTCTGTGACGAGGCTGCTTAACCAATGAGAGAAAGAGAGGGGAACTTGGGTTACCCGACATGCAATTATATCACAATGCATGTGGACTTATATGCGTAAGGGACTGGACCAATCTTAGTAAAGTTAAAGAACTTGCACTGGAAGGTAACGACTTAAGAAGCGGGTGGCATGCGTACCTTTGGTACGAGAAAAGAATGATCGGAAAAAAAACCGGCAACCAATTTGTCAGGTCCTCCTTGATAAGAATATGGGAGAAGTACAAGCTAAAATTCTACCAAAAAACCCCCCTCTGGGTTTCCCTATTGGAGAGGAGTACAGAGGAGAGAACTTGGATGGGAGAGATGGCCCAGATATAAAGAGATTCTCACAAAAGCTAACAATACCTATGTACTGAAGACTCGGGAAGAAATCCAAAAAACATACGGGAAATTATCATGGTTACAATATAGACAACTGAATGAGGCCTTTAGGAAAGAGAAAAAAAGTGGTTTCGAAGAAAAGGACAAATTCTGGGATAAGATCATGACAGCTGGAAGGAAAATAATTACAATACTATATAAGATCCTCCTGATATGGGCAACAGAAAAGGACCAAATCAAAGAATCCATGAAAAAGTGGAAACTCTACAGCCTTTCTTGAGATACCAGTATATTTAATTGGTTTAAGAGTGGTTCTCCAGCTCAAAATCAGTTTTTCTTTGTGGTTTTTGTAGCCCCTTCTACACTGCCACATTATTTGCTTTGAACTGGATTATATGGCAGCGTAGACTCATATAATCCAATTCAAAGCAGATACCATGGATTGTCTGCTTTGATCATCTGGATTATATGGCAGTGTAGAAGGGGCCTGTGACTCACACAAATGGGGTTGTCTGTGTCTGTGCAGTGCATCGTTTGGAACCATCTAGACTCTTACATGTCCATTTAATCTCACACACTTCTGACAAAGTGTTCCTTTTTTGTAGGCCACAGCAGCAGCATAGATTAGGTGCCTTAAGCATTCTCTTTCATTGACTGTTTGTTGAGTTGACTATGAATTGTCTTGGTTTTTGAGTTATTCTTTGTGTTTTGGCTATCATTCTCTGACAATCTTCATGGCTGGATTTTGCATGTTTTTTAGTTTCTCCATCAGTTCCCATATTGTTTTTGACACTCCTGTGTGGGAGCCTTGTCATTGTGTGATTTCTTCTGCATTTTTCAAACGCTGTGCCTCCTGTGGGGAAAAGATCCTTGAAAAGCACAGCAATTCAACTCCTTTATCTAGGAGAGGACCATGTTGTCAGCGCCTGTGTTCATTGGCCATTTCAGGCATGTTGCAACCCAGCTTCTTGCCTTATAGTCCTGTTTCAGGAGGGCCTCACTGTCAGAGACTGTTGGCCTCCAGATAAAAGAGATGCCCTTGAACTTTCTGCTAAGTAGTTCATGTAGCTAAAGGCAACTCCACAATAAAGGGCTTGTAGTGTCACCACAGTGTCTTTCTAAATGGGTTCCAGCTACCATTTGCCTGAACTATTTGTTATGAATTTCTAGGCAAACAGCCTCCTGCCCAAGGGAGAAGTTGCTCAAGTAGAGCAATGGTGGTGTCAGTGGCTTTCCCCCCCTGTATGTCACTTGTAAAGCTGCCACATGGTATTAGCCTACAACCTTTTGTTCTCACTACAGACTAGACATGAGGTCTCAAGCAGAAGGACTGTATTTTTCTCTTGTGTTGAATGACACTCCTTCCTCCTATGTTTACTAGCTTGCTCGTCTTCCATTTGTGTGAGTCACAGAGCCCACAAAGAAGGAGAACAGGTTGGTTACTTGGAATTGTAGTTCTTCTTGTGGTCATCTGAACTCATGGAACTTTGGAGTACACCTATTTAAATCAATCAGACAGGTTTGGATTTAGGATATCAGTTGATTATAATTGATCTACTCTAAGCAAATGCAAGTCTAGAATAAGTCCTGATATTCTGTCACATATGCATAGATTAACTGTCTCCTCACTGATATATAATTGTTTTTTCTGTATGTGTTTTTTTAGTGCTGTATTTTGGAAATATAGGCAATCTTTATGTTATTCACCCACATCCCTTTAAAAATCTCTCTGCTTTGACTCTAGCAATCACATGGTCTTCTAAAGAAGTCATGGGTAGCTGTTGTAGCTGTCCAGATAAAGAAACAGTCCCTGATAACCATCGAAACAAATTCAAGGTAAAATTTTGAGGGGCTTTGCTACTTTGAGTTCTAACTTCTAATTTAGGGATGAGATGAAAGTGACACAGTTGTAAGAATTGATAGAGATTATCCTGGCAACTTGTTATTTTCCCTTCTATATTAACTTAGCTTCTCAGTTAATAGATTTATTAAGAAATAACTGAATCGTAATGTGTATGTTACAAATACTGTAGGTTTCCTTTGTGATTACCAAAGGGATGGTTTGGGGTTGTCTTTAATCATGGCTTTACAAAAGTAAATAAGGATGATGTAATCAACCACCAGGTGATTAGGGGAAAATGCTTGTGGCCATTAGTAACTCTGAGTGCATGGGTACTATACTTCTCTCAAGTTTTCCCTAGAGAAAAAATAAAATACATTTGAACTGTGAATTAGTCCTGCATCATATTGGACTTATTTGTCTATTATATTGAGATTTTTTATATAAAATATCCATTTAGTTGAATCTGATAAGGTACATGTTTGTCTTTAATAAATGATAAGTAGTAATAGCTATGTTTGTGTTATATATACTAGTTTGTGATTTCATTTTATTTTTTAGGTTATAAATGTGGATGATGATGGTAATGAATTGGGTTCTGGTATAATGGAGCTTACAGACACAGAACTAATCTTGTATACCCGCAAACGGGACTCTGTTAAATGGCATTACCTCTGTCTCCGCCGATATGGCTATGATTCCAATCTCTTCTCTTTTGAAAGTGGTCGAAGGTGTCAAACTGGGCCAGGTATGTATAATGGCATCTTTTAAACTATGAAATAACTTAAAAAATAACTCCTGTTAAGTGATATGTATTATAGGGCAAGTGCTTTGGTGCAGTTAGATCCTACAGAAGAGCTGGAATAGGTAAATATTACAATTTGGATTAGCATTAGTATTAAGAAATACAGGGTGAGGCAGCATAACTTCCTTTTTTAAAATGCATGCCATTCAGTCGGTTGAAGACGTAGCGGAGCGCTAGTGGTCTTGTTTGAGAGGCAGGAGTATAAAGTTTTGTCCTGACACAGTTCAGTCGCCATCATGCGTTGGAACAGTGAGGAGCGTGCTTTTGCCGTTGACTTTTCGAGCGGATTTGGAGTGGCCGGCCCGCTCTCCAGATTTGGCCCCTTGTGATTTTTTTCTATGGGTTTTTTTTAAATCCCGTATTTATGTGAACCGTCCAAGGACCCTACAAGATTTGAAGACCAACATCCAGGAAAAAATTACCAACATAATGCCTGCTATGCTGGCAAGAGTCATGACAAACGCCAGAAATCAGTTTACTAAGTGTATGGAGAATGAGGGATGTCACCTACCTAATTTGATCTTCAAAACTACGTAAAACAAAACTTTAGGTATGTGCTACATTATTAAAAAAAATCTGATTCCTACAATGGGTTTTATTAAGCTTTGAAAAAAGGAATTTATGCTGCCTCACCCTGTTTTAGTTGGTCTGAATCAGAGTTTTACAAACTTTGCTCCTCCAGATGTTTTGACTTCAGCTCCCACAATTTCTAAGAGCTGGTAAGCTGGCTGAAATTTCAACTGGAGGAGTGGAGTGTGAGAAACAGTGGTCTAAATAAAAAGTTAAACCCTTGTTATTTTAATGAAATCTAGTTTAATACATCTTGTCTTTCTGATCTCTCATTTTGATTCAGGTAGGATGCTTAAAATGGCCCATATGTACTATTTCCATTAAAGTGTGCTCGTTTGATCTCTACACATATCTATATTTCAAGCACTCATTACAGAACTCATACATACTAATAGAACTGCCATGGCTAGTGGTGGTGGTCACACAAGAGATTTATCATGTCAATTTTTAAAAAATCATGCAATTGATCACTAGTCATACTTAAGGAACTAAATTGTATATCAGAAGCAACTTGCCCTATAGCATAAAGTGCTGCTATTGAATAAAAACAATTCTAAAGTCTATTTGGGCAAATAGAACTTTTATTAGTTATTTATTTTAGGATGTTGCACTATAATTATATGAATTACTGTAGTATGCCAGAAAATAACCAATTAATTTACTGGCTAACTCCAGCAGTTGTATGAAAGTTTGGATAAGTAGTAAAATTAACTATCTGTAATCTGTTATATAGTACTTAAAATGGATTGGATAGATAAAAAGTTGATTATTGGGGTTCAGTGTGCAGTGTAAAGAGATAACACTTGCAAAAGTATGCGATAGAAGGTCCTTAATGTGCATCCATGCTCTGTTATTTGTGTAACCACCATCTGGGCCTCAAATTGTCCCAGGGTTTCCTATGTAATCATCTTCACAGTGAAACTACTTTTTTCAATACCTGTTTGTAACTACATTAAATGATCAGTGTAGATGGCTCCTGAATCCCAGTTGCTGAAGACATATACCGGAAAAGTGTTGTTTCCATTTGAAATCTACAGCTTTTTATTCACCGAATTGGAAACAGCGGCGTTGTGTAAAGCACAAATATGATATTATATGATTAAGTGATATAAATTGTTGATGCATTTAAAACCTTAAATGTATTTCATTTTATTTTATTGCTGTTTTTTGAAATCAAATTATGTCAGCAAAATTATTTGGTAAGGAATCATTCCTTTAGAGACCCAACTATTGATTGGTATTTTCTGAATGCAAGTATGTTTATTTAGAGACACCTATTTACCAACATTTTATATCACCATAAAGTATGATTTACTTTGGGGGGAAAGGAAGTGTGTTTTACATGGCTTGTCTTGTGTAACTAGCAAAATTATCCTTTTTATCTCCAGCCTGTTGTGTAAGCAACAATGTTTTCCTACTTGTGTGAGGGCTGTTTGTTTGTTTGCGTTATTAAGGATTGCTAAATTTAGTAACTGTCACTAAAATATTTTGGTGATAATAATTCAATCAAGTGCTCACCAGTATCAGTTTAATCAAGTGTCAATCTAAGTCACCTTGAAGCCATCGCCAGCTGGTGGACAGCAAGAATGTTTTTGAATGTTATGCCACCATGAACTTATGTGTTTTTTTTAATGCAAAGCAGAGCTTCTTTAAAAAAACAAACAAAAATAGTCTGAATCAAGGGTTAGAAACAACATTTTGGTTGTTTCTGAACATCAGTCTTAAAATAGCTAGTGATGAAGGACAATGGGAGTACAGTCCAGCTCATTCCATAACCATGATCTAACTGGCAATACAGAAACGACTATGTATGTTATAATTCCACTTTTAGTTTCAAAAAAAAAAAAAAACCAGGAAAAGGACATAGATCCAATGCATTTCAATATTATATGTGTGCTACTGAGCAATACTGGATCAAACCAAATGCCTTATCATGTCGCATTATGTTCACACAGAAGAAGCCAATTAGTTACTTATAGAAAGTCCACAGATAGGGCATGAACACCATATTATCTTCCTGCTAATATTAAAAAAATGATATACAAAGGAATACTGCATCTGGCATTGGATATAGATACCGTCATCAAGACTAGGAGGCACTGAGACTCCACGTAAACAAATGGTTTTGAGAAAACCATCTTCTCAATAATTTGTGTTTATGACTGCCCCATCTTCCCCCATCATTATCACACAGACTCTTGGCTTGATGTAGGGCCAGTAAACTGACATCTTTAGATTTTATAGTTTGTAACCACAGTAAATTTTATAGGCTGAACTAGAATAGTGTTTGATAGTTTTAATATGTTGGATAAGATAAAGCTCAGCAATACCAAAACACACACGCTTGTTAACAAGAATGTCAACTTTAACTTAATGCTTTCAATGGAAGAATAATCCAAAGCTGCAACTCCACTGGTTCTTTCTTTGCTGATGATGGTAAGTTGGGCTCCCTCTGCTGTTGAAAGGCAAAGTGGAATAATACTAGCGAGACATCCTTGGTATTGTCTGCTTTGTTTCTGTGTGTATCCTTGAGACCAAAAGCAAACTGGCTTTGTCTGTTTTACCCAATCTGTTTTATAGTCCCTCCTATCTTAACCTTTATGTGCACCTGGACTGTGAACCCTGTGTCAAATCCTTCTTAGTTCGTTGTGCAGGAATTTTATGTTGTTAGAGTAATTGACCAAAAAATCCTCTACTGCAGCAAAACTGTACCTTACTTACCAAGAAAAATCATGTTTTTTGAAATGGATACTAATTTTTCTCTCTGGTTTCTTAATTTACTTTTTATTTCAAGTTTGTGATTTCAAGGGAATAAAACCTTTTAAAACAGTAATAGTACTTTTTATTAACAGGTTTATGCCTAAATGGACTATACCAAGATCTATTAATTCAAAGCTTATCTTTATAATTAAAAGACTATCTAACAACTAATGTGTTGTTGTAGGAATATTTGCCTTCAAGTGTGCCCGTGCAGAAGAACTATTTAATATGTTGCAAGAGATCATGCAGAATAATAGTATAAATGTGGTAGAAGAGCCAGTAGTAGAAAGAAATCCACATCAAACAGAGATGGAAGTTCCAAGAACACCCCGCACACCTACCAGTAAGTTAATTTCTCTTGTCTGAGTGTTGAGAGTGAGACCCCAATTTAGACGCCTTTTTGTGTATTTAAGTTACACATCCCAACTAAAATTTTTTGTGAGTCTTGGTTTTTAGACTTGTTTCTGGGGTTATTGGGGGTGCTAATTCAGAAAATTGCATTTGATAGACCACATATACTCTAGGTTGTTAGATATGGTCATCATGGTTTTCTGTGGGCAATCAGATGACATATATTCTGTATCACAAAAACTAGAGCTGGTAGGGGAAAACAATTTTTGGAATCAGCAGGTCAAATATACTCAGAAACATTTCTAACATTTGAGGCACTAAAATGTGTGTTGGCCAGTGTTATCCAATAAATTACGTCTATTGTAGACTGATTACTTGTGAATTCATTATCATGTAGTGATAGTTAATATTGAATTGTGACCTGGAAAGTCTTTGGCAGAATTAGTCATGTTTGAAATTGTAAACGAACATATTGCAGAGACTAAGGGTGCATCTTTACTGTAGAAATAATCCAGTTTGACATCACGTTAACGACCAGGACTGAATTCTATGGAATCATGGGAGTGGGAGTTTTACAAGTTCTTTAGACTTCTCTTCCAAAGAGTGCCGGTGTCTACAAATCCCAGGATTCCATTGCATTTCATCATGACAGTTAAAGTGGTGTCAAACTGCATTCTACACCTGCAGACATGGAGCAGCATGCTTAAACTAGAGGAAAAGAGAATCCTCCTAAACATTAGAAGTGGTGAAAAGAGTTGGAATATGCTGCCTTGGAGTGTGATAGCATCTTGGCTATTTTTGTCCTTAGCCTGCTATTTATTCTAGTTACAAAAAAGTCTCTTTTTCTAAGCCTTATTGCAATCCTGTCCCCATCTACATGAAAACCTAAGAATAAATGTATATAGTATTGCAGTATGAGTCACATACAGAAATTGCTTAAATAACACTGGTTCCATTTAACAAATGTGTGGCTTAGCTGCCTATGTTGGCGATATAATTTTTGTGGGGTAGAGAGGAGAAATAATTTGTATCAGATATTTGTATATTTTGATCTTCGTTACTATGATTTATTTTAAGCCCAGTTTCTAAATATTTGCCAAATAAACATATATACTATTTTAAAATCTCATAACAATTCAAATAAGCCATTATATTGTACAGTAGAACCTATGCACTATAGAGTTTATATCAGTGATTCTCAACCTGTACATCCCCAGGTGTTTTGGCCTACAACTTCCAGAAATCCTAGCCAGTTTACCAGCTGTTAGGATTTCTGGGAGTCGAAGGCCAAAACATCTGGGGACCCACAGGTTGAGAACCACTGATTTATGTGCATGTTAGAGAGCATTTCCATATGTGTGTGTGTACTTTTATATAAATCACCTGAAGGCTAATAATAATAATAATAATATACTTTATTTATATGTGGCTCTATCTCCCCAAGGGGACTCAGAGCAGATTACAGAATATATATATATGGCAAACATTCAATACCGTTATACAATTAACAAAGACAGACAGTAAAATTTAAAACAAATTACAATTATTGTGGATTAATAGTATATTTTGCTAAGCTCAGTCGCCAGTGATAAACATGAGCCAGCAAGAAAATTAAGAGAAGTCTCCACAAAATAAATAAATAATTATTAAAATTAGAATAAAATTTGAAAATAAAACAAAAACAAAAATCCCCATTAAAGCCCAGGACGAGCAGAGTTGGAAGTTGAGCATCGGCAGAAAAGTCATTAGCCCCAAGCCTAGCCAAACTCGATTTCAGTACAAAGTTGATGGTTAAAGGGCGGGGGGCTGGTTGGTAAAATTCCCAAGACAGTTATGCTATAAGACTAGGGTCCTCAAACTTTTTAAACAGAGGGCCAGGTCACAGTCCCTCAAACTGTTAGAGGGTCAGATTATAATTTGAAAAAAGCATGAATGAATTCCTATGCACACTGCACAAATCTTATTTGTAGTGCAAAAAACCACTTTCAAACAATACAATAATTAAAATGAACAATTTTAACAAATATAAACTTATTAGTATTTCAATGGGAACTGTAGACCTGCTTTTGGCTGATGAGATAGGATTGTTGTTGTTGTTGTTGTGTGCTTTCAAGTAGTTTCAGACTTAGGTTTACCCTGAGCGAGTGCTGGGTAAATGAACTTGGAGGGCCATATCTGGCCCCCGGGCCTTGGTTTGAGAATCCCTGCTATAAGATATCAGTGACTTGAAGTAACTTCAGGCTATGGCTAGCTAGTGCCGAGGTCTCAGCACAATAATATTTGACCATATAATTTTGGCTAAGTGTCCAAAATCTTTGACAAGTAAAGTCTGATAATTTGGGGGAACAATATATCCATTTTACTTAGTTGTGACCCCCCAGTTACATTACCTGTCATTGCTCCTACTGGGTGTGAAACAGCAGTGATTTGGGTGCTGCACAACCACGCCTGTGAGAGCCAGGCTGGTGTAGTTGTTTGAATGTTGAAGAATTAGGACAGTGACAACCAATTGGATGACATTAGTTAATCACACACTCTCAGCCACAAAAGGACAAGGGCAGGCCCCCTTTGAGAAAATTCTGCTAGGAAAAGCCCACGATAGGGGCACCAAGCAGAGGCAACAACAACAATGAACACCACAGTCAGACAATTAATATTGAATTAAATAGCTTAACACAGGCTAGGAGTCAGGAAATGCTCAAAATGGAATTGTTTTTAATATTTGGAAGTTGCTGATCAAAAAGTGGACTTCTTTGAGAGGACCTCTTTCCAAATTCTCATTTTGCCATTTTGTGTTATGCATAGGAAGTGAGAGGAAAGTAGGCAGTACTTGTTGATAAACATACCCCAGAACAAATGCATGCTTTCTGCAGGATCTTATGATTAAACTTAATCCATCTAAACAAGAAGGTGGGATTTCTTTCCATCAAGGTTTTTTGACAAACTTCATTTTCTTGTTTTTGAAATGGTGTACTATTTATTGCTACACCTGCATTTTCCCTAAACAGTCCAATTCACATGCCAAGATTGAAATGACCTTCAAATGGATGAATACACATTTTCTGGAATTTTTCTAACTTACAGGATAATTGGATTTTCTTTTTGCACAGCACCAGGAGTGAGTGGGCAGAGTTTACCAAATGGATATCCAAGGTACCCTTCCTATGGAGATGCTTCATCCCATCCCTCCAGCAGGCACCCTTCTGTAGGAAGTACACGCCTTCCTTCAGTAGGTGAAGAATCCACGCATCCCTTGCTTGTAGCTGAGGAGCAAGTAAGTTCTTTTTTAAAGTCTACAGGAAAAAAAAACTGCTGATTAAGAAATTGCTATTTTTTAACTGAGAGAACACTTCTCTAGGAATGTTTGTTTTCCAGCATAGCATGACTTTATGGCCGGCTTTTACTGGAAGCCGATTAAATAATTGCACTGGAGAACCTAGAGATTCCTAGAGAGGTGTTCTCTTTAGAAATCTCTATGTCCTTCAACATGACTGGAGAAGTTAATTGTAGAGTTACACTGGAGGACCTAGAGCTTCCTGGAGAGACAATTTTAATCAAATCTGTGAATAATCAAATCTACAATAGTCAAATCCACAAGTATGGGGGGGCAACTGTACTGGTATTCATGTGCCAGCTTAATTCTGTTGTGGTTAGTCATAATGGAAGGAATCCTATCATTTTCTTTTAAAGTTTCTTTTCTTTAATTTTTCATTTTCTTTAATTAAACAAAACATTAATCACAATGCATTGCTACATTGTCTGTTCTCAAATCTACACTCCCTACAGTGTTGCTTTATACAAATACAGCTCTCTCAGTTCTGTTGCTTTTAGTTATTTTAATTTTCTCCATTACATAAAATCATTGTGATATGTTTTACCAACATTCATCATTTTCCTAGGTCATTTGATGGTTTAAATTCACCTTCCTTTTTGCACATGTAGCTAATAAATGGCTTCCATGTATTTTCAAATAGTCCTTATTTTATAGTAGTAGTAGTAGTAACAATAACAACAACAACACAGTCCGAGATGCTTGGGAAGTGTTCGATTTGTGATTTTGTGATACGAAATTCAGCATATAGATCTCGTTTGCTGTGACATACTGTGTTTTTGTGTCAGTAAAATAATTATAATTATAATTGCCAGTAAAGGTGGTCCCAGTGGTGATCGGCACACTATTATTATCTGTCAGCTGCAAAAGGTCACCCTACTTGAATCTCAACACATTATTCACCGATGCATCACACAGTCCTAGATACTTGGAAAATGTCTGACATGTGATCCAATACAAAAGCAAGCATAGTGATCTTGTTTGCTGTGTACTAATCTTGTTGTGTATCAAATCATCATCATTATCGTCATCATCATCACCATCATCATCATCTTATTTGTAACCCACCCTATCTCCCCGGGGGAACTCTCCTTGGTACGCCTTTGGGATATGCCAAAAATATGCAGGCATGAACAACTTAGATGGTAGCTGTGTGATTCCGTAGTTGATATTTGACTCTGTTTTTTTGCAGGTCCATACATATGTGAATACAACTGGTGTGCAAGAGGAAAGGAAAAACAGACCAAGTGTGCGCACTCCTCTGGAACGAAAGGTTTCCAGTGCAGAAGTGAACAACACGAGAGAGGAGGAAACATGTCCTGATGAAAGAGAGGCTCAGGTTGTATTGGAGCCTGAAGGAGTCAAATTTGTTTTGGGCCCCACACCTGTCCAGAGACAATTAATGGAAAAAGAAAAACTGGAATCAACTGGGAACAGTACTCAAACTAGTGGAAACAGTGCTGAAACTAGTGGTAACAGTACTCAAGCTTGTGGGAATAGTAACAATGAATGGGACACTGGGTATGACAGTGATGAACGTAAAGATGTTTCCTCTGGTAACAAACTGACATATGAAAATGTAAATAGATTGTCCATCCCTGGCAGCTCAGGGATCAGGAGAGGCCGCCTGATATCATCCAGTACCTCTGATACTCAAAATGTCAACAATTCAGCTCAGAGGAGAACTGCACTGTTAAATTATGAAAATCTTCCATCTTTGCCTCCAGTTTGGGAAGCTCGCAAGCTCAGTAAAGAGGATGACACTTTAGGACCAAAGACACCTTCTCTTAACGGCTATCACAATAATTTAGATCCCATGCATAATTATGTCAATACAGAGAACGTAACAGTGCCATCAAGTGCTCACAAAATAGAATATGCAAGACGTCGGGACTGCACCCCAACAGTCTTTAACTTCGATATTAGGCGACCAAGTTCAGAACACAGGCAGCTCAACTATATACAGGTTGATTTGGAAGCTGGTAGTGACTCTGACAACCCTCAGACTCCCAAAACGCCTACCACTCCACTTCCACAGACTCCAACCAGGCGCACAGAGCTGTATGCTGTGATAGACATTGAAAGAACAGCTGCTATGTCAAGCTTGCAGAAAGCATTGCCTCGAGACGACGGTACTTCTAGAAAAACTAGACATAACAGTACTGACCTGCCTATGTGAGCCTGGAAAGCATTAGTTAAATCATTTGCACCTTTGTGAAGTTTTTTTTAAAAAAAATGAATGACTGCTCTATTTGACTTTTTAAATCACTTTTCATAGATTTATAGGGTTTTTTTCCTTTTCTTTATGTGCTTGTTTAAAGGGAATTTTACAACAGAAAGAGTATTAAATAACACTATCATTTTACTATTACAGAAGCAGCTTTTGGTCAGTGTTGCCATCTTTCTATAGTGCCTCTTTCCTTGACTGGACATTGTAGTGACATACCAGTGTTGACAGGCTGGCCACAAACAAAGTCACTGAAAGTGTTATGACACATATATGCCTCCTGATAACTGCACTGCTCCCAGATCAGTGTAATCTCTCATAATATAGATCTGAAGTTTCACATGTTCAAGTTCATGTAGCACAAATGAGAGAGTTTGTGATCAGGCTGAGTTGTGTAAAAACATGGTACAGATTGTTTTAAATAACTTGCATGGACTAAATGAATTTCTGGGCTGTGAACCAGTGTTGAGTAGGAATGATCCCCAAAACCCTCCCAATAGGAACAGCTTGCCATGGTACTGAAGAGTGTAAGTCTCTTAATATAGCCAATTAGTAGATTTCAGATTTTAAAATGCTGACTGGAATGCCATTACTTTTAAGAGTTGTCTGGCTAGGGACAGAAAAAGAATTATGGAAATCTGCAAATTTATCATTTAGCACTTGCTTTCAGTTTAAAACAGGGCATGAACTAATGACCAGATGCACTTTAAAATCACCAACTACAAATCCAGGAACTAGAAATTGAAAACCATCCTCTTATGATCAGATCTGTTTTGATGTCAGAATGAGACTGTGTGTCAATTATAGGATTGTTTCCTCTCTACAAAAAATTGCATAGTGTTTCATAGGGAGATGAGATATACCTAGTTAAAATTACATCTTTTGGAAAACCAAAAAGGATATAATCAAAATGAGAATGGTACTGAAAGGCTAAAAGATTATGACGGATACAAAGAATAGCATTCAGTGGGGCTTTTCTGGGCCAGTGCTGAGTTAAGGAGTGKCCCCCCCCCCCCCGCGTGTCCAGTCCAATGAAATAAAAAACAACCAGCAATTCTCCCTTAGCATATGCAGATACACTATCCACTAGTGCACAAAGAGTTTTGGATTCCAGCCTGTATCTTAAATATGTCTTTCCAGACCATTTTGAGAGTAGAGAGTCAGAACTGACCTTCTATTTATACTGTGTGAAAAGTCACATCTTCTTCAGAGTCTGAAACAAACCTTGGTTTAGGTTTGCCGAGTTTTTTTTCCTGTACAGTTGTACAGGTACTTTCACGCTAGACAGTTGTGATGCTATTTATAATTACATTATGTCTGTAGCGGCATATTTTTACTTTCAGTTCTATAAAATGTCTGTTCCCTTCCTTGCTTTTCGTTGTTGTTTTCACCTCTCTTGTACAGTCTATAGGTTGTAAACTCTTAATTTTGTACATAGTCTTTGTTCAGCGTGTTTCTATATTGCCATGGAAAAACTTTTTGAAGGCCCATTGGTAATTACTGTCACTTCTCAGATGGCCTTCTTTATTACTTGCACAAATGGAAAGATGCATATTATATGTTTGAGAATAGAAAGTGCTGTGGCACCTTAGAAAAGGGCATGTTGAGAGACGAGTTTTCCTGTTTGGTTTCTTCCAGAAAACAGTTGTGGGCCTGTGGGATGATAGGTGTGAATATATTGTATGATTTATCAATACAAGTCAGTAACATGGTTCCATAAATAATGGCATTCTTGGTTTCTGACAGACCATGATCCCTGTCTTAAACATCTTTAATGTGTTATCTGTTTAAGATGTAAAAGATAACATTATTTCATTGCAGCCATAAAGTACTTGTTTCTGCTGTTGTGCTGATCTTGATATCATTGTGTTCCATCTTAAGATATGTTTTCTGGCACAGCAAATCTTAAGAACAGAGTAGCTACTGAATTGTGGAGAATACCTTTAAAATATTTATCAACATATGAATTTAACCCTTTAATAGATGGATAATACTGCTGAATGTTCCCAGTACTTTTGGTATCTGCTGATCTTATCTGATAATATCTTCCAGGCGCCATCACTTACATAGTAAAGACAGTTGGAGTACAGCCATTAAAGTGCAGGATTTATAGCAGTACAGACTAGAGGAATTGCAGATGAAGCATTAATTGCCATTATGTTTGTAGAATAGTAACGTGGCTTCTATCAGTTTCAGAAACAGAAAGCCTATTTACACTGGAACTGAAAAAAACAAAACCAGAAATAAGGGGGAAGATCAGAGTACGAAAAACTTACTTTCTTTATAAAACATTTTATTCTTACTTTAAGCATTTGAATTATAATACATAACTCAGCACATAATGGTACTGTTATATTTATGAAAGGTAACACTAAAAACATCATTATTTAAACATTATATAAATATGTCCATTGTTAAAGTGCAGCAGCTGCAAATATAAGGCCACAGTCCTGCATCTGCTTAGGTGGGAGTAAGTTACATTGAATTCAGTGACAAATCTCAGTAAACACTCATACGAGTCTACTCAAAATTATCTTTATTTCTACCAATTGTAAAACAGAGGACATAAAGTGAAGTTATTAATATTGTAGTAAACAAAGAAAAGTTTGTTTACTACACAAAGCTGAGCATTACTGTGAAGAAGCAGCAGGAACTAATATTTTTAGACAGCAGCTGTGAAAATCATGTGGCAGTAAATTTGGATAGTTGGTTAAACTTTGCAATAATGTATTAGAAATGTAATCTTGTGCATACTTCTTTAGGAATTGAGTGCTATTGAATTCACTAATACTTTTTCGTTAAAAACACGTAAGACCAGGCTTGATCATTTAGTCATTACAGAGAAAATTAGACGCCTCTCATCCATATTTATTTTATTTATAGCCCATTGTCCCTCAGTCTATGGATATCTCAAAATACCAGGCTGGTTTCCACCATCTCATTTTATCATTTAAAAGAACTATAATGTCAGTCTCTGAATTTTTATTTGAAGCTTCACAAAAGGACCATGTTTATGAGTATGTTCTATATTCTGCTACGTTTGGGGTTACTTTTTACAGATTGTTGCTGCACAATGGTGGTGTTTTGATCATTAATATTTGCTGCCTTTGAATCTTAGTCTTCAGAATGGACCCTTTCATTCTGAAAAAAGAAAACACAGTGTAAGTGATGTCTCCCACAACTTTCAATTTTTCATTTGGAAAAAATGCTAAAAGATTATTTTGGTGGAAAATGTGTGAACTAATTCCAATTTTGCTGTTTTCTTCCTCTGAATTTTCACATCTCTCAATACAAGCCCCTAAGTATTAAACAAAACTGTATGCAAGAGACTGAATAAGACAATTACAGCTAAATGTTTTTTAATCATGTTTGGAAGGACTGCCCCAGTTAAGAAACACAAATATATTAAGAGATTCTTGCTAGATTAAATCAAATGAATATCTAGCCTAGCATTATTTTCCAATTGTTGCTAAGCAGATTACAAAGGGATTACATGTTCTTCAACAGCTGCGGTGGCAAGATACATTGTTGTACAAGTTGAGCATCCCTTATCTGAAATGTTTGGGAACAGGGGTGTTTTGAATTTTAGATCCTCCCGAGTTTTGGAATACCTGAGGAAGTAACTTAAAAATGGGACCTACATCTAAATGTGCAGTGAACTGATGTTTCATATACATCTTATACACATAGCCTGAAGATAATTTTACATAATATTTATAATTTGTGTATGAAACAAAGTTTGTGTATGTTGAATTATCAGAAAGCAAAGGTATTGCTCTCTCAGCCACTTATGTGAACAATTTGGGATTTTGGAATATTTTGCATTTCCAGATAAGGGATGTTCAACCTGTATGCCTGTTTTTAGTTATTTTGTGAATAATACCATACAAAGATGCTATTCTGTTCATTAGTAGTTTTGTCTTCATTCAAATAATACCTAAAGACTTTAAACTGCCTGGAATACCTTTCTATTTATGTCATATGGCAACGTAATGATAGAATTAGAAGATGTACATCAGTTTCAAGTGAAGCTTGAAACCTGACCCAGATTCCTTCAGACTGCTTGTGATGATTTTTGAGGTAAAGAGATCCTTGACAGTTCTCAGAACTAAGAATGCCAATTGAAGCTTAGAAAGAGTTCAGGGTTTTGGAAGTATGCTAGGGGAATGGCTGACATCTTTTTGATCAGTTTATACGAACAGATCAATGGGTAGGAATGGAGTGTGGTGGATTGATTAGCTGGTCAACTTTCTGTTCCTAGTACAGGTTTTACCGGAGGCTTTGAAATAATTTTGGTTCAAAAGAAAGATTGTGATTTTGATAAAATTCATGATTCCAGCTTTCTTTATGAGATAGAGGGAGAGGTGGGAGACAAGTATTAATACTAGTTATTAACTTTTACAAAATTCCCGTTACTTTGCAGAACAATATTGAACCATGCCAAGTAGGAAAGCAACTAGCAAGCAGCAAGGAAGGGGTGGTGAAAAGGCCATTTTCCTATCAGCATTAACTTGACTATCTGAAAGAGAGGTGGGCAAAATAACATTTGAATCTGAAGAAGTGAAAGATTAGTGGCATTCCTGTTTGTAAAAACCAGATTTATAAGCATGTACAACACAATCCCCAGTACTTATTTATCTGTAACTTGGTATATATATATTTTCCTTAAGGTGCTATAATTATGGCAGGTTTATCCCAATTCTGACAGAGAAACATTTTAAATAGATTTTTAAAAAGGTTTCATCTTTTTCTGCTCAGCTGCAAACACTGACTGGAAATAAAAAGGTTTTGACTTTGCCCCTTTTTTAGAAGGTAGGCATTTTCTTGAGATTTGGTATAAGCAATTGTAAATAGAACAGGTCAGAACTGTATAGGACAGTGGTTTCCAAATTTTGGCCTTCCAGGTGATTTGGATTCCAGCTCCCAAAAGCCCCTGCCAGCTTGGCCAACAGCCAGGAATTCTGGAAGCTGAAGTAAAAATTATCTGGTGGATTGAAGTTTGGGGATCGCTTCTCCTCTGCCATTAAACCATGCTGCTAAGCTCAGGACCTCGCATGTAGCAGATTGGTACTAAAAAGTATCCAGTAAAATATTATAATATGAAAGAAAATGTTACAATGTGTTTCTTGATCAATTGTCTCCGCTGGATATTGTTATCTTGTTCTTTTCATATGTCTTATGTACCTGGATATCATCTACTTGCCAATTGCTATATATATTGGAAAGAAATCGTGGTAGTTCTTTCCTTTCTCATTTTATGTCACCTTCAGTGGGGCAGTGTGTCTAGCTAGCTGCTATCAAATGACAAGATATGCACTTTATTGGAACTCCTTTTTAGTTTGCCATCAGTATTAAGACTTCTGTTGGACATGCAGTGTGCTTACCAAAAAAGTGCTGTACTTTTGAGGAAATTAGTACTGGTAATATAATAGTGAAACCTCTTTTTACAGTAGCTTTCAGAAAGTCGCAATACCCCTTTAGCTTTACAGTCAGCTCATATTTTCTTGCAGAGGTAAGAATGCAAGGCATTTCTCTGGTGCCTTTATCTGTTAACCTTAACTGTGAATTACTCCACCCATTCCTTACTGTAGAAAGGTACAATATGTGTGCTCATGTTATTGTTGCTGAGGAGAAAAGTACAAGAACAGATGTCTGACATCTAAAATATAGTTCCACTCAATTTATTCTGTAATGGCTATCGGCAGTGCGACTGGAAAACCATCTTGCAATTATCCATATAAAGTCTTAGATTTTCCTTTTTTCCTTTTCAAATCCAGAGTTGTATTGGTCTGGCAGCATAACCCAATTTGCCTTTTGCTAGCCAAATTTGCTTATTGGTCTTTTATTTTTCATGTTTTCCTTCAAAAGTCCATGTTTCTTAAGAAAGCTATATTTCAGCAATAAGTAGCAAAACAGAAGTGAGATTTGCGGGTGCAGTAGCAACAAATGACTCATCACAGCTCTGTATCCCTATATTGTATGAAATCCCTTCGCCTCAACACTCATTTCAGATATTGTACCATATATAATTTTATCGTTTTTACTGGTTCCTTAAAAGATTTTACTGAACCAATGCATCTCAGATCCAGTACAATGAGAGATATATTGAGTTGATGTTACCAGATATTGATAACACATTTGCAAGTTTTATTTCTAGAATTAGAAACATAGAAAGCTACTGTAAAGGGAATTTACAGCTTTTTTGTCAACTTTGGCTAATAACAGTTTTCAGAGTTGTGCAGTCATATTTTTTTCAAGGATTCCATATTTCTATATCATATTCCACTGAGGGACTCATCCAGTAATCCCAGTTCATATCCCTTTCACTTGTTTTCTGGATCATTTTTGAACAACATCCTCCCAGAATATGAGATGAGTGAATAATTTCCATGTCCTTCTTTTTAATTTTCCTGGTTTGCTGATTCATTTCTGCTAAAAATGGCAGAAATGCTTATGCCCAAGGTGTTGGTGTAGGGAAAATGGTCTTTGGGTTTGTTTGTACTGGGAGTGTGCTCTGCACCAGTATTTTCTTAAAATATAAATTTCTGTTTTTAATATGCTGAGGGGCCCAGTCAATATGAAGTCAATAAGAATGACCAACTTTCTTTTTTATTTTGCAAAATCACACATTTAAGTACATTGTATGACTAAACACATTGTATGATCTTCCCCTTTTTGTGGGCATTGGCCTACCCTAGTTTTCAATATTTTTTAAAAAAATATCATGGTTTTTCATTTCCAAATAATTTTGCACTATTGCATGTGTTTACTAAGACAAAATTAGCAAGGCTTCTAACAGAAGTGGAGAACTTGGGTATTACATTTGACCTCAGAAATGAGCT